AAAAAATATGAAAATGCATGGATACACTAGGAATACATACAAATTTCATAAATACAATATCAGTAAATTTAAGATCAAAGCAATCACAAATAGTATATAAATACATTAGAAATGTATATTTTAGTGATACATATGAAGAAATATATTATAAATATATATCAGGATGCATAGATATCATATAATTTTATTTACAATGCATCATTCAAAAGTCTAACACACAAAACAATATGCACCTATTATATTTTAATTATTATACAAATTACTTTTATTCTACTTTTTTATTTTTTAACATTACCAAAAAGTCAATTAAATATTAAATTCTCAAGTACAAATTAAAATGTTAATTAATAATTTATAAAAATCTAATCTTAAGTTAAAGTTTATAATATACATATCATATAAAAATTCATTATTTTTAATTACTAAAATTATTATTTCTTTATTAATATTTGATTTATATAATTTTCTAATATGAAAAATGATTTTTTGAAATAAATGTAGATTAATGGATTTGATAAATTCAATTTAATGTTATATTCTTAAATATTTTATAAACAATATTTTTATTTTTTATAAATAATAAATATGTTGTTATTACTTATTATAAATTAAAATATTAATTAATAATTTGTAAAAATATATAAAAAATTTAATATGCATATCATTTGCAAATTTATAAACTTTAAGTATTAAAATAATTATTCTATTCTTAATATTTTATTTGTATAATTTTCTTGATATTAAAAATTATCTTTTTATATAAACATAGATTTGATAGATTATTTATTGTATTAGTTTATAAAATACTGTTTTTTAATATTATTCTTTGAAATTTTAGTTAGGGTTGTTAAATATAAACATGTACTTTTTGTTTTAATCACATATAGAGACAAAAGTTAATACATTTTATTTTATTTTATTTATTATCACAAGAATAAACATGGTTTAGTGGCTTAGAATCACATTTAAGGTGCAAGGCTTTGGGTGCTCTATGGTGATCTGAGTTTGAATCACTTTGCCTACAGTTTTTTTTATAGATAAACAGTGTATTAATGCATAATGGCCTATATCCATGCATAGAGGCTGATATGCATCTACAACCAATGAAATGCACTTTCCCATTAATCTAAATAATCTTTTCTCCTAAAATTTCTCCTAAACTACCCTTCCCACTATCCCCCACTTTCTCCAAAATTATCCTAATTCCTATTTATCTTCTAAATTATCTCTAATTCCTCTTTATCTCCAAAATTATCTCTAATTTAGTAGAAAGATTATCTCTAATTCCTATTTATCCTCTCCCCTACTTTTTATCTATATCTATCTAAAGAAAGTTTGGATTAAAAATTTAAAAATTATACAAATATTCTTTCAAAATTATATAATAACTTTAAAATATTTAATAAAAACACAAAAAATAATTTTATATATTTAAAAAATATATCACAAAATTATGTACTAACAATTTAAATTATGTTTTTCGGGATTATCAATTTAAATTTTTTCAAATATTTAATAATATGTAATAGTTTTAAATAAATAAAATTCAAATAATCAAAATTTTAAATATTTTACATATTATTTAAATATTTATCATAACTAGATTTTAAATAGTTAAAATAACAAAATTATGTAATAAATTTTAAACATTTCTTCAATGTAGAAAAATAATTATAATATAATAATGAAACTAATAATAATTTAATATATTAAAAATTTAATAATGAAATTATATAATAATAGTAGAAATTATGATTTTATGGATAGTTAAATTCAATAAATAATTAATATTTTACATATTATTTAAGTATTTAAATAAATAAATATCTTAAATAACAAAACATTTAGCATAACTAGGTTTTAAATAGTTAAAATAAAGAAATTATGTAATAAATTTAAAAAAAATCTAAAAACTAGAAAAATAATTATAACATAATATTGAAAATAATAATAATTTAGTATTTCTAAATAATATTGTAAATAATTAATTTCACTTATATCAAATAATAATTCGAGAAAATAACTTTCAAAAAAATAATATTTATTAATAATAATTTTAAACTCTTAATCTGTATTTATTATATAATTATATATACTACATTAATATTTATTTATTGTTTTTTGTGATAAATATATTTTCAATGATTATGTATAATTTTTATTTTGTTTTGTTATTTAGTAGAAAACTTTCAATAATTATTGGAGATTAAATTACTACTATTGAATTTTTTAAATTTAATTTATTGTACTTATTTTATTTTATTGTATTTTTGTTATAAGTTATTGATTAATATTTATTAGAGATTAAACTATTATTTGAAATTATACTATTTATTAACTAAGTTAATATATTTTTAGTACTTATTGTATTTTTGTAATTTATGTAATTATTGTATTTTTCATTATCAATATATTTTCAATAATTGTGTATTTTTGCTATAAATTCTCAATAATTATTGGAGATTAAACTATTGTCATTTATCAGAGATGAGACTATTAATTTAGTTGAAATTATGAATGTTCATGAGTTGATCCGGTTCGGTCATAGGCTATTGTGCCAACCAAATTGACCTAGTCAGGTTAGGGAGTTGGTCACCTGAAACCAACTAACCCTTTGTGAAAACCGACACACTCTAGTTGTATCAGTTTGGGTTGGTTTTCTGGTTTGGTCAGTCAGTTCAAAATATTTAAACTTAAAAATTAAATTTAAGTTTAAAAATTACAATGCAATTATTAAAAAATAATTTTAAAAATTACAATGCAATTATTAAAAAATAATTTTAAAAATTACAATGCAATTATTAAAAAATAAATTTAAAAATTAGATTTTTGATATAAGACATTTTAGACTAAGAAATATGGAAAATTTCCCACTTTTCTATATTTAAAATATAATCATTCGATTTTGGTCAGTTTTCAAATGGCTAAAGTGAAACTGATCCAACTTGGCCAAATTGGGAAATTTTTGAACCAAATCCAACCTAATATACTAGAAAACCGACCAACTCGGGTCAAGTTAATCGGGTTGGTCGGTTTCATCAATTTGATGAATAAACCTAACTGAAATTGATTATTGTTATTTTTGTATTATAAAAATTTTATTAAAAGTAGTATATAGAATATGAATAATTATTAATTATTTAAAAAGTTGAAAATATAAAATAATTGTATACTCTTATGTGTTTCTATTAGGGTCATTTCCTAGAACACACCTTAGGGATGACAATTTTTCCCATCCCCGACGGGGACCCGACTTCCCCGACCCAATGGGGCTGAGGATGAGAATTGTTTTGGCGGGGCAGGGACCGAGACGGGGATTAATAGGAATCCCTAGTCGGGATCAGAGTTGAGGATGGGGATTGAGGTCCATGCCTTGCCCCAACCCCGATTATATAATATATATATATATATATATTAAATATACTACTATATTATTTATATTAGATATATCAAAACATATTTAAAACATTATTTATAATTAAAATTTTTTATTTATTTTAAAAAATACTATTATCTGAAAACATTTTAGGGATTCGGGTCCCCACGGGGAACCCATCCCCTTTGGGGATCGAGGTTGGGGGTTAATTTTAAAATCGGGGTTGAGGACGGGGAATATGATCCAAGCCCCGAATCCGTCCCGTTGCCATTCCTACACACCTTATAGGTTTACATATTTACTTAAACATATCTTATAGTTTTCATTTTACTAAGACATCCCATATATTTTATAACTTATTTACTTAATCAACTTTTCATTAAAGAGTGTTTATTTGGTCATTAGGCCCATGATTTTTCATTCCAAAAATACTCTTAAAACTTTTTTTGTATAGAAAACAAAATTGACCAAAAATGGTATTTTTATTTTTATTTTCTTTTGATTAAATTTATTGAAATAAACATTAAAGCTCAACATTGTCATTTTCCATTATCATCCAATGAAAAATTGATTGAATCTCTATTGTAAATTATAAATGATATTTTAATAAAATACTAATTATAGGGTGGATTTTAATAAATTCATAAAACTATAAAGGATATTTTAATAAATAACCCTTTCTATTATTTAAGTTTGCTTAATAAATTCCGTACATCGCACGGTCCCCGCTAGAATCATATATTAAACCAATCAATCACATCTGATCTCCCTGATGGGCCCATTAGAGAAAGGACACGCTACATGTTGGTACAAGTTGCACTGGTAGTACGTAAATCATGGGAGCGAAGCTGTTGGAGCGTTTAGACTTTAGAAACTCCAAATCCAAGTACAACCTCCATTCCATTTCGATTTCGTACACCAGATGTGCCATTAACTATTCGCGTACTCTCTGTCTCTCTCTCACGAGGATGGTGAAGTCAAATAACTCTCAACTGAATTCATAAGACGACACGCACACGATACGGCAAGTTTGCCCCCAACGGCTACTGTGGAGTGATTTTGAAATTTCAAATCCTCCACAAGCGGGATTAAATTAAAAAGACCAAGATGGGAAAACTTTACGCCGTTGCCGGGGATCGAACCCGGGTCACCCGCGTGACAGGCGGGAATACTCACCACTATACTACAACGACTCAATTGATTTCTGATTAAAATGTCATGATCTTATTTATTAACTCACCAAAGACCTTGACCTTAGTTTCCCTGTTAAATCAATCTCCCAAAGGGAAACCCATGCTGCATATATACAATTTTATTTTCCTCGACTACCAAGCAACTCCGTCCATAGTTGGGCATTTGGTCTAGTGATTTACCAGTTAACCATGCGAGACGTTCCAAGGATTCTTGTCCACCTGTGTAGCGCATATTCTTGCAGAAACATGTTTCACAAAAAAAACAAATTAAAGTCTCATTCCTATTGTGTAATCTTCAGCTAAATAGAGAGGCAGTGGTTAACTTTTTCGCTCAGTCATGTTCTTCCAAAAAAGAGAACAAAACAGTTTAAAATTGGGCTTGGAAATCACAATTTCAAGTCTCTCCGTCACTCAATTATCTAGTCACGAGGTTCATAAAATTCATCAATCAAACTCAGCTCATTCCACTAAACAGAAATCTCGTTACAACAAAAAATAAATAAATAAACAATAATGTGGTGGTAAACCCTCCTAACTCCTCAATCCACCTGCTAAATTGTAGGAATTTTCTCCTTCTAACTGTTGAATCCACCTACTAATTTGTAGGAAAATCTCAGTGATTTTCTCCTACAATAACTCTAGTTCCTAGATGGAGGGCTTAGGACTCCTTTCTTGCATTCCTGCCTTGCAATGCCAGATTGAGGTGCCAGTGCTTCTCGAGTTGAGCTTGCTACTGAATCTGATCCCTCGGGGAAATTGCATGAGTTCTTCCCTTTGATATCAACGCCAAGATAATCTGTTAAAACTTTCTTTACTCCAAACCCACGATGCTGTGGCTTGTTGCCATTGGGAAAAGGGGACCTCTCTCCTTTTGCAGCGCTAACCAAAGGTGCAGGTGAGAAGCTTGGAGTTGTAAAAGCTGTAGCATATGGAGTGCTTGAGACAGGCACCGAGTATGGAATTGAAACCCTCTTGTGAGCTATCACACTGACTGAGGGAACCGAAGAATATTGATCCGAATGCTTGGTTAAGTCATCAACATAGTGTAGATCATCAATGCGGGCAATAATATTAAACGCCAGGCTCTCCAATACTCTTGAATAGCTCTCTAGAATAGATTTCCCAATATCCTGAAATTGTGGATAAAGATGAGGGAGAAGAAGGCATAGATGAGAACCACAATTTTGAATGTGAGAAATACAGACCTTGTTGTATTGGATCTTGCTCATATCCAAGGATGTCTGTGGAAGACCAGGGAACCGCTGCTGCAAGCAAAGCAATAAGCTCTCAGCTCTATCTGCAAGCAACTCCCTCTTATCTCCACCATCAACCACCAACTCCTTGACCATCTCCCAGGATGACTTGGAAGTGGAGCGGTTTGCATTACTTATGGGTTTTGAGTTTGTTCTTCGACGCCAGATGTATATGGAGGCCTCAACGCGGTTAGCAATCTCCAGAGCTTGGTGTTCAGAGGAAAGGTCAAGGCAATCAAGAAGGCATTCTGGGGAGAACTGATCTGATGTAATATACCGGTGGATCACATCGCCTAGGCTAGCTCTTCCGTTCTAAACCCAAATCCAAATAGCACTCAAAATTTAGTCTTTCTTTTATCTCATAAAATCAGAATTCAGAAGAATTGCACCATGTAGGAATTCTGTACCTTTGGTAGAGATTCCAGGTATGATTCAGGGACTTCCATTTCAGCTAAAGCAGTACTATTGATGGCCATAGCAGCTTTAAGGATTTGGTTTGTGCATTCACGCTTGTGCTGCAAATGTTTCCTTGAATTTTCATGGAGACCACCGGGAGGAACACGGGGAACAGGAAGCCACCATTTGTCCACTTGGCGCTGAAGTGGTCTACGAAAAGAGGCTGATCCATCAGCATCTGGAGCTAAAATCCCTTGGTCAACATACCAGAATTCTGTGTCGCCAAAACTATCTAATATTTCCTGTGCAAGTGACATTTCAGAAACATTTGCAGAATTCAGAAACTTCATCGTCTCAAAATTATGGGATGGAGACAAGAGCAGTAATAAATCTTACAATCAGCATGTTGTCTAATTTACGCAATGCTGGGAGATTGATAAAAATGTCTGATCTGGGTCTGCAAGTCATAACCTGAAATGTCAATGTGAAAGTGAAATTCGTCAAAACAGTACCATATATGTAATGTACATTAATATTTCACTGGCTTTTCTTTTGTTTATTAAAATTTGCATATGCTTTCTGTTTACAGATATAAGGACTACGAATGAATAAAGGTTCAAGGAGAAGGGATAATATGGGTTATGCATTCAACAAATTTCAGCACTAACCAGTAGAGGGGATTATTTCTCTGTTCAATGGACAACTAATTTCGTGTGCCAAGTTCATAACATATAACACTAAGAAACGTAAGATAAGGATGAACTAATTGGGATTACCTCAAGCTTGCTTCCGTCAGGAAATGTTTGCCAAGAGGGTGTCAATTCGACAATGTGGTCACTAACACAAAGAAGCCATTCAATCTCCCTTCGCCACATTGATTTTTTCTCAGGAGGTAGAGGTTCTAATCTCCAAAGCTGCCCAAAGAGGGTAGCTAAAACACAATGCAGAGAAGGAAATAACCATCAAAAGAGAAGCTGATTGAGGTTTCAATACAAAGAAAAGCCGATCTTCAATGGAGATGGAGCAATGCTAATAAATTAGAGCTTAGAGGCAAAAGAAACCGTACCACAGAGATTAGTAATGGCATTCGAAATGGCCAATGCTGTGCAAACCCCTTTCCCACATCCCGACATATCTTCCCCAAGCAACAATTTTGAGAATCTCTCTTTCATAAGTTCAACCTCTATCGAAAACCCCAAAAAAAAATCAGAATCAACGACGTTGTAAAATTATCAAACAAACGAAGAAATAATAGGTGGAAAAAGGAGAACATTACATACCTGAAATCTTTGACCCTTGTTTCTCTAATTTACTATCTTCCAAATGGGGCTTCTTCTCATCCCCGGTGACATCAGAAATTGAACAGTTTTGCATCTCCGACTTCCCAACCGGCCAACCTAGTGATGGTGCTGAAGAGGACTCTTCTGAACTATTAGGGCTTCGTTCTTCGTTGGTAGTTCCTTCAGACGTCAAAGCATCAGAACTCGAACTGCACGAACTGCTTTCCCGAGACTCTTCTTCTCCAGAATCCGTAAATGGCTCACTTTCACCTCCATTTCCATGGAGTCCAACTTTCCTGTCTTCAATTACATCCCTCTTCTCAACCAAACTCTCCATCCCAACCTCCGTTGATTCGATAAAACCAGCAGAACCACAGAAAAATGAGCTCTTCACGACCAAACCCGAACCAAGGACCCTTCTTAAAACGACCCCATTTGAAACTCGAGCTCTGAAAGACAAGCTACGTAGAGATTTCGAAACCCAAAAGCTCAATGCAGAAAACGGGCTAACATCAGCAGAGGTTCTAAGCTTCGCTAGTGGCAGACAAAGCTTGAGCTCCTGCACTGTTGTTTGTCTTTCTTCTTCTTCTTGGGAAGAAGCTCTATCCATAAGGTTTCAAACATTTCTTAGGCGTATGAAGGAAAATAGGGGTGTATTTATGGTTTGTTTTTGTCTGCGCCTTGTCTATGTCTCTAGGTGTGTGTGGAGGAACTTCGTATATTTATATGGGAGGAGTGAAGTTGGTCATGATTACTAAACTTGCTCAAACACAGGACATCTGAGAGACGAGGCTAGCTTCTCTTTTTTTATTTGATTTTCTCTTTTCAGAGTTCCTCCACCACCATTTCTCCTGGTTTCAATCTAAATGATAACCGTCTCTTGAATTGATTTTCATTGCACTTTAAAAGGAGATTCAAAGGCTTCAAACACTAAAACATTGTACAAATTTTCCAAATCCGTTTGAAAAAAAAATTATAAAATAACGCTGGAGTCGTAAATGACGGATCTGCCATCGTGTGGATTTCCATTTAACCCCTTTATGTTAGAATGGGCACTTGGGTTTGGAGCGTTTGGTGTGAAACGACCTTTATGGGGCTGTGATTCTGTGAGGTTGCTTGGTTGGCATCTCGGCCCTGAGTGTGTAGTCTGTCGTTCAATACACGGAGACCTAACAACAGTAGCGTCTGTTGATAGTGCGCTATCTTGGAAGCAATGTGAATAAAAAGGAAGCTTAGTATACACTCTGGAGCCTGGACCAGTGGACTGGGGGACCATCAAAATTATGGGCCGAAACAAGTTTCGTCAATTCTCAAGAAGGCCCCATTTAATAGTCCAGTACTAAACAATAATAAGACAGAGTCTAGTAATTGAGATTTGGATTTGGCAAAGAAATAATGTTTGGGCCTTATATGCATCCAAGCTTAACAGGTGTAGAATTAGGTGGCCCAACTCCAACCAAAGGCAAACTTGCTCGTGAGTCGTGAGCCACGCACCACATGGATCATGGATGGCAACTTGGAAACTTGTTTACAAGGAATTACTGTCGTTACAAATTTGGGGGCATCCAGTCGTTATAAGATTAAGCTTGGCAGTTGGCAATTTTGATGTTGTGTGTCCCGTTCTAGATGGACAATAGAAACTATAAGCCAAGGGCTTTCCAGTAAATTCATTATTCATTGTCCCTTCCAGGGCCCAGGCCCCAGTCCAGCAGAACGGAGGGTTAAGGCCTTAAGGGGGGTTGGTCGTGGTCCTTCCCTCCTTGGTAGGAAGGAGGACAGCGGAACTGGACCACATAATCTCTCTTAAGTCTTAACTAAACGTCTCTTTTGAACCCTCTTTGGATGTTTTGCAGCTTTTGCTGCAACACACAAGCCCCCCCAAGCTTTGACTATTTATGACATGTTTGGATAAGAAGATAGATGTGAGCATTTCTGGTGGACGGAAAACGGACCACACCAAACGCCTACTGAACAGACATGTAACATGTTGGCACGATCTTAGGATCTTAGGATCTTAGATCAAAGTTTAGTAAAATTGTTGATCTCTCTGGACCCACAATAATAAAGTAGAGGAGAAATGATAATGGGGGAGACATAGCTTGGGAAATTGTTGATCTCTTCTCTCTCTCTCTTCTTACTTTCCTTGTAAGGCTTTGTGTTCCCCAACATCTTTCTGTTCTGTTAATAATATTCTCTTTCCTTGATTATGTTGCCGGTTGTTCCAACTGAAAAAGTCCTTTTTCCTTAACGGCTAGTAGGATGTGTATCCTTTTTTTAAACTAAAGTTAGAAAGGGGAAAAGAAGACCCTATATCTGATAGCCGTTTGTATTACACAAAGCGACGACTTTCGCTTTGATGATGTTTGTCGTTTTCTCGACTTTCATTTATCCCATACCTCAGATTCCACCAAGCAACCAAAATAGGAATGGTGGGAAAATGAAAACCAAATAAGAAAAAGAAAAGAAAATTTTAAGTGTTAAATGCCCTCTGTTTTTTCTATTTTCTGTTGAAAAAAATGCTACCTGTTAAATGCTCTATGTTTTGAGGCCTAAAATTTTCCCCTGGAAACCATTGAATTGACGTCAAAAAATAAATATATTGAATTGGGTATGGCTTTTAGAAAGCTGAAAAAGTGTTTAGTGCGTACCTAACCACACTCAAAGCCCTGCCCTAGCCCCTAAGGTGGTTGGGTCCTAACTGCCTAAGGATTCCCTACAAAAAGTGTTAGTATTCTCAGTACTGAGAAGAGGATCTCTTGATCTCTGTGAATTAATTATAACAAATTCGACTGGCAAAGCTTGAGCCCGGAAAATCAATTGGGCTGAGGCTCGAATTGAAGACCGCAAACATGGACGCTTGAAAATCCACACAATTCCATATTAGTTGGTGGTTGGTAGAGAACTGGAGATCTTACATTACAGACAATGGGCACTCTCTGTCTCTCCTCTCAATTAGCTAGTTTTTTTTTTTTTTTGGATAATATCTCAATTAACTAGTTTGTTCCTACAATTCCAACAATAAAAGAGGGATTCCACTCCTTGGTTGCATTAATTAATTATTTAAACGAAATATTTTAGTGGCACTATCAGAATACGGTAGAATAGAGGCAACAAAATTAATTTAGAAGAATGACTAATCAACTCAGATCAGAATTTTATAATCCCAAAGTACAGGGGAAATGCATCTTGAATTCACAGGCAGGATGTTGTTTATAAGGGGGAGAGGGCTAATAGTAGGGGGGGGGGGGGGGGCTGGAATTCAGAATTTGCATCGGATGCATCATACTTCTCTGAATTAATTTCTCTTCCGGCTCCAATGTCCACGTGTATTAACTTCATTAATCAGAATTATTTAATGTTTTATAGTTTAATCTCCATAAAAGCAAAGTATACTAATAATATTATTTCATTTATTTAAGATGTAGGTGGTGGTCCTTGGTCCTTGCTCTGGTCATGAAGGCGGAGGGTCCACTTTGGCAGCCTTGAGATTGGTGAATCATGATAAAATTGAATTGATAATAGACAACTAGACATTCTCCTTTCCTTTTTGTTTTTTGTTAAGCCTTTTACACCTTCCCACGATCCTCGTTTCTCAGGCTAAACGGCCGTCGGCCGAGCTGTTCGAACTTTGAACCGTTTTGAAATGTTGACTTCCTGTGTCGTTTAACGTATAGTTTTGCGGGGGATTTAAATTAAAACATAAAAACATAGACTTTGGCTCATACGTTGTACACATGAGTTAACGGCTAAATTTCGATTCCAACTTTTGATTTTGAACTTTACAAGTGGTGTGTATACTTTATAGATAAAAGGGCTTCCTTTCAAACATAGTAAGCTTTTCGAATTTGAACTACTGCATTATCATCTGTTTCTTTGCTCTAGCGTTGACCTTTTAACCTATTGGTATTCTTCCTATGGTAAGCTGCAAATGTTATTCCAAATTTAATTCCGAATTAGATCCCATTAAGGGTGACCCGAATTCGACCCATTTATAATTGGACCGAATATGGATGTATCCTTATCCCATTCCTAAATTTGGTTTGAATGTTGTACATGTTTATACTACATTTGTCATAGGTTCAAGTTTCATACATATTATTTTTTTATTCATTTTATTCATGCAATATAGTATCAATATTTAACTCATTTTATTAATAACATATGATATTTTAATAGTTTTTAGAAAATATAAATAAATCAAAGTTGAATCTATAGTATAAATGACCAAAAATTAAAATTTAATTATTTTTTAAATTATACATAATGATGCATGTAAATATAAAAATATTAAATTCAGCAATGATAAATTTTATATTGGACTTAGTTTTTAATCTTTAAATCCACACCCAAACTGATTTATTATCGGATGCAACATCTAGCATCTTAATCCGGAAAATTCGGATTCGGAGTCAAAACGGGTGTGAGACATTGGGAGTTTATTTGACAGCCCTAGGCGGGCATATGCCATAAGTTTGACAAATTCTAACCAGGCCGACAGGTTTTATGTAGGATGAAGAAGACTTTCAAGTGGAATTGGACCTTTAACTTCCCAGTTCCCAAGACTTCATTAGCACTACATATATTGCATCATTTTTGAGGATGTTCATGCTCCTGTGTACACTTAATATTTCCACTTGAAAAGTGTGAAACATTGTTTGAAAATCCTAGCTTTGAAAAATGGGGGAAGGACAATACGGGTTCAAGCAGTAAATTTAAATATTTGTTGACTTATTTTGTAACAAAAGAAATACAATATTAGATGAATCTGAATGGAATTGAAGGATTCATCTTTTCGAAAGGAGGCAGTTGATGATTGATTCTCTTCTACAAACGAAAATTGGGTCACTTTGTTTCAGAAATCGATTTCCTAATATTGTCTTCATTAACACTCTTTATTCAAGAACCCTAGCTTTGATATGTAAAAATGACCGACTTTAAAAAGCTTATTGAATCCCAATTCCCACATGAACTCATTACGAAGAGTTGCTAGATTTATCAACTTTGAGCAGACACATTAACCAATTAGTAAGGCTCTGTTCGCTTTTTGGATAGTTATTTACCTAGGTAAATGTTTTTCAGGAAAAACTTATCAAAGTAACTGCATTTGCCTATGTTCTTTAATTTCTCATGTAAATAAGGTAATGACTATTTTAGTCATAAAAATCTATTATTAAAAAGGGTATTTTTGTCCTATTCAAGTATTGACAATTTCACCTAAGTGGAAAAGTTATTTACCCACTTAAGAGATGAATACATAAATCTAAAAAAAGAACATTGGATTCTTGGTCAATAGAAACCAAAATCCCCTTGACCAACTTTCCCCCCCTCCCAAAATCCAAAAAACGAATACCCCCTAAAAGTTAATTTCTAGTTTTAAGAATATCCCACCAAAAAGCCCAAAATCAAATCTCTTATACGCATCCAATGGAAACTGGAATTACATCTAGGCTAATATGGGGTCACAATATTATTCACAATTTCTGAAAAAATGCGATAGGTTTTACCAAATACCAATCGATGTACCACCTTTGCAACTCTCCTCTCTCTCTCCGTTGGCCGATGTTATGTGCTACAATGAACAATCATGAAGTAACATGTTCCACCATACCAAATTTGCCACCATTTAATCGAATTTGCTGCACCATGGAGACTCCCTTGGAGTGCAAGAGAAGATAAGATATGGCTACGGAAGAAGGATAAGAAATGATTCAACAGGAGCCGGAGGATCGTATTCGCAAATAGGTTCACCTGACTCGGTAGAGCTTTAGGAATTAGGACTCTGCTTACTGTTGGCCAAGCTTTGGCAAAGCTACAAAGGTATTAGATACCATGGGCTGGGCTTGAATGAACTTTTGGCCCGATTATTCGTCTTTCATTAGCCTATCTCGGTGGGTTCTTAAAATATATTCAAACATCCAAAAGGGCTGGTCCGCCAAGAAGCCCAGGTGAATTTATAATTATGTGTCCAGTAACTTTGTCATGTGGCAATAGACTTTGCTATGTCGATGGTTAATCTGGTAAAGCCCAGACCCTCAAATCAGATAGGGAGACCCTCTGGGTAGGGTTAACTTTGAGTCTTTGACTGTTGGAGGCCAACAGTCTATGCTGTTGAGAGCGTTTTTGGGCTGGACACGTTCATCAATTTATGCCCATGTCTATGTTTATGGGTAAAAATAAATAGCGGGCATTACAATTTCACCCCATTCTATCGTAAAGTGGCATTCCCAAAAGTGTTCTCAACAGCATAGGCTGTTGGCCCCCAACAGCTAATTTTTTTTCCTCTGGCCATACCATATGTCAAGTGTCCTTAATTTGTCCAGAGAATTTCATAGCTGGTGTTTGGTATTGTTGCCATTGTTTTAGAGCCATTTTCTGAGAAAATGGTGCTGTATGAATGAGGGTCTGTTGCACTGTTTTTTTAGAAAATGGCTCCCTTTTTTTCTTCTTGTTTGGCATCAATGCTGCAACAAAGGATGTTTTCTAGGGAAACAGCACTGGTTTAATTTGATACCAGTGCTATATAACCATTTTCAGCATTGGTCTATATTATCCAACATTTCAGATAATGCCACAATGGTACCACATCATTGTATCATTGGCATCAACAGGCAGGAATCTCAGGAAACGTTGAATTCGATGTTTCCTCAGACCATGCTTTCCTAATTTTCAAGGCATGGTCTGGGACAACGTTTTTTTCTGAAAAAACAGAACCAAATATCTTTCCATTTTTCTGGGCCGGGTAACGGCATCATTGCCAAACACCGCCATAGTAAACCATGTATTCAGCCCTTGGTTATGACTTCAATTGTTTTTAGAAAGTCAATAATGAGAAACCATGCCTAAGGGACTTAGGACCTCTTCACTTATCTTAAATGCAAACCAGGTCTCTGAGCAAAAGAAAATTGATGAAGGCAATACAAGTAACGAGACGGATGCAAGTGCTTAAAAGTCTCTCTACATATCAAATTTTCTCATGGGATCAGTAAGTTTGCAGTTAACTGAAAATCACCTCCTCATCCCTTTGGCTCGGTCACAGTATGACCAGCGTGCATCTTGTTTGCAATCTTATTCATATCTTTTGGAGTTGGAATGATGGAGGAACCATCATATATATCTCCTCTCCAAGGATTGAGAAATGATGCCTGAAGAGAATCAGTTTCTTCATCATCTGATCTGGTTATGAAACCATATCCATACAATCTCAGCTTTTCATGCCTAGTGCATATTCAGTTTGATTACATAGAAGCTCAATAGCTAGATAGTTCCTGATTTTAATTTATAGCTGAAAATTGTGGCTAGGAAGGAAATGTCAGGAAAATCGTATAGCAACTTCGAACTTTGTCCATATTGATTATGTGGTAGCAATGGCTATAAATTATAAATGACAGAGCGTTCTTTTATAAAGGCTACAAGAATGCCTTTCTAACCATCCACCTCATTCCAGCAGACCATTATAGCAGAATGAAGTTAAAAGCTGAAATTAAATGGCACTTGAAGGGTAAATTGATGATTTCTGGATGGATACAAAAAATTCAAGGCAGATTAGATGGTATTGAAATATCAGTAGTCGGAGTACAAATCAGCCCCCCACAAGATAGTTTTCCATAACATCCCACAGCACATCCCTGCTGTCTATTGGGAACATCTCCCAATGACGTTTCATCATTTCTGATATTATTATTGGGAGATGTTCTCAATACACGGCAGGGATGTGCTGTAAGACGTTGTGAAAAACTATCTTTGTGGGGAGTTGATTTCAACTCCATTAATCGGTCTTTAGATTCGAACAAATAGACTCTAATAAGAAATTGTTCTTCAAATGTCATCAGTGAGAAAAAATTATGAAGATGAACCTACAAATGGGAGAGATTTCATGCAATGGATTTTATCTTTGCAAGGTATGCCACACATGGAAAGTCTAGAAATTATTTTTGTGAAAAACCCAAATATGCTTTTATTCAGTTAAGAAATTGATTTTTCAAAGAAGCTAGTTTTGGTAGTTTCTTTACTGCTCAGTCAACACAGTTTAATCAAGGCTGAAGCCCTCCCAAATGGGCATTTAAAAGGGCTTTTCACACAGTGTCTTCTAGCTGTACATGATGGGATCCACATGGACAATTTATAAGTTATGTTTAGGGGGCGCTCTTTTATGGATTTGGAGAGGGGGGAAAGTTGATCAATGGGATAATCCTATGTTCTTTTTTCAGCTTGGGGATTAGAGAAAGTTTATTTTCCTGGGTATCACTTACCCAGGAAAGTGATAACCATCTCGTAAGTGGATAAATAACTTTTACCTAGGAAAATGATAACCATCTCGTAGGTGGATAAATAACTTTCCCACATAGGGGGACAGTTGTCAAGATTTGAATGGAACAAAAAATGTCCATTTTAATAATGGATTTCTATGACTAAAATGGTCATTGCCTTGTTTACCTAAGAAATAAAAGAACATGGATAAATGCACTTATTTGGGCAAGTGTTTTCCAAGAAAAACTTACTCAGCTAATTGCATTCACACCAGATAAGTAACTTACCAAAAAAAGAATGAGACCTTAGTAAAAAATTCCGGAAATCCCAAATATGTTATCATTCAATTAAATTATTAGTTTTCCCTAAAACTTGTTTTAATAATTTCTTCAAAATTGCTTAGTGAAAACAGCTCAATCAAAGCTTCAGCCATCCCAAATGGGTCCTAAGATTTAGTCACCATTATTCAATGATACATCAATTGCCTAATGAAACACCAGATACTGACTCCAAATCTGCTACCCCCACTACCCATAAAACATTAAAACCATACATAGAAACATTTCCCCCATGAATGGCCATATACAAGTAGAGGAAATTTACCCATGTACCGTTGCAATGTCTTTGGGTGGGTGTGGGTAGAGATCTTCTGAGTTACAGATCCGAACACCTAGATACATTCTCTTGCATGATAAATTGGATGTTAGTGTAGAAGTCGACTTTTAAAACCATAACAATCTAAAAGCCAAGGCATTCATTATTAAACCCCAAAGCTTAAAGGCTTTACCTACGAACTTTTGGACTTCAAAAGCACAAATCCTGAAGGATATTTATTTAAACACAATCTACATAATTCTCTGTTTTATATTGGAAATTGGATGAGCAGTGAATTGTTAAAAGTTAAAACATAAAATGAGTTGCTTGTTGAAAGTTGAAACTACGACAATGCCGCACGCCCGTCCCAAGCCTTTATAGAAGCCGAACTCGGCTATAATTGCTGTGTTTGGTCGACAGAAAATAAGAGAAAAAGAAGGAAATTGAGAGTTGAGGGAATTATCACGTAAAATCAAACGACTGTCTACGTACGGAACAAACAATCAAGGACAAAGAATATAGACCCAACCCTAACCAATAAACTAATTAAATTAAAAAAAAAAGAGAGAAAGGTCAAATTCTGGAAGAATTCCCGTTACACCTCACTCGCTCTTGGGCTCTTTCACGATGGTTATTGGGCAGGACGCATGTGTAATCACGTGATTGGTCACGCTCCCCAATAAGATCCTAACACCAAGCAGAAGGCATGCATGAGAAGGAGAAAGAGAGAGAGAAGGAATTAATAATAATTAATTAAAAAAGAAAATGATAAAATGGAACCTTCTAATGGTGCTTAGTCCTCTGCTGCCCATAACCAAGGAGTCCAGCTTCAGATCCTCAACCGCTGAGCACAGTTTATCTCTTGCATCACCCAAATACAATTTCCCTACCACGGTGGCCTGCACAAATTAAATCCCCGGCCGTTTGTCAACATCACAAAAGACAAAACTACTAGTATAGTACTAGAATTAAAATGCATGCTGTAATTAATGTATATAAATATAATCTAATTAACCTCCTTTGTGTAAGCGGTTTCAAGCAAATCCAAAACATCGGGAGCCATTTGAATGTCGTACTTTTTCATCAGCTCAGGGTCTAGCAGCTCCGACAACGGAATTAGAGCGGTTGCTATCAGCCAATTGAAATCCAACCGTCAAGAAGAAACATAAGAGACAAACTAAGAGGTAAATACAGGTGAACTAGTGAAGCGATCGATGTGTCAATGTCAATGTGTGTAAGTTAGTAATACTGACGGGAACCGGTGTTAGCCCAGAGAACGTGTCGGGCCTCGTCGCCTTTGTCGTATTTGACGTGAATGACGTAGAGGGTATCGCCCTTATCCAGCAGGTTTTCAATCGTCCAGTTGAGAGCGCTCCTGCTGCTGTTCGAGAAGTCCAACGCCACCCCTATCTTCCTGTCTCTCGGCATTCTCCCTTTCTAGATCTATGTAGAAGTTATCTATCAGGTTATATAAATAAAAAACCAACTACACCAACCGGCGATATATACGATTTTGTGAATCAGAAAAGGCGATGATGGTTTGGGGGCTGTGGAACTGTATGGCTTTTATATATACTGCCAAAGTCCATAGTCCAACAACCTCCATTCCCTTTCTGTTCGAGGCCCCGCGTGGAATAGGTAAAAGTATTGCCACGTGTCAAATACTTCCTATTCCAGGCACACTCATACACCGAAAATATCATATGCCTCGCAGCTAGCCACCTAACCATCAACTGAGTGACTATTGCCAACTGAGTGTGCCTTGTTTGATCGATCAGAAGTACGGATTCGATTCCCGCTACTACCGATTTTGGAGAGGGGTTATTCTTTTCGGTAGATGAGGAGCAAGGCGGGATAACTAGACCCCAGACACCACTCAAACAGATACATCAGAGAGCACTAGAGAGTGAAGAAAAGAGACATTGAGGTTATGTTTGGTTTGAAGGAAAAGGTAGGAAAGCATTTTCTTACTTTTTCTTTCAAATCAAACATGGCTTGAGAGAGAGGGGATGTTGGGAAAGATATACTACAGTAGCAAAAATGAGTGTAAAAACAATCACAGGACAGCAAAAACCTTTCCCCTAAATTTGTGTATTGAAATAGATTTATCAACAACAATGATAACAAATAAGCAATTCAACCAAGTAATAGAAAAATGCAAATAGTAGTCACCACATAATAGTACACCAAAATTTTTATATGAAAAACCCCAAAATGGGGGGAAAAACCACGGGACCTACGATCCATAAAAGTCTTCCACTGATTCAGAAATTAATGGGTATAGTAGTCATCTCTAGTTGCAACTAAAGGCTTACAAACATCAAGGAAATAATCCTTGGATCACAAATACAGCATTAACATCACCGAATGCAAAGTGGATACAACAAAAACAAAGGTTTAGATCTCACCAAGTTGTTGTAAATCTAAACTGAGAAGAAGAAGAAAGAAGAATCAACAAACTGAACTAGAGTGAGATTCTTAACTCCAGCACTTAATCTCATCAAGAACAGGCTTGAAACACCTCCGAGCTTGGCCTTGAATGGAGCAGAAAAATCAACTCTCTTCTTCAAAAACTTGAAACCCAGAAACCCTCGGTTTTTTTGTTTTCTTCTCACATGTTTTTCTCAGTTCGGTGGTTACGAACATATGAAACCCAAAAACAAAAAAAGGCGAAAGCCTTTTTGGCTTCTACTATACGTCTCCTTCTGGGGACATGTAAAAGTGGGGTGGGCCCCTCATATGAGTTGGACCCACGCCCAACAATTCTCCCCCTCCAACTCATAAGGGGGTTTTATCAAGCCCACAGCTTCTTTGTAGAATTCAAATGTCTCTAGGCAAAAACTTTGTTAACAAATCTGCAATATTCTCATAAGTATGAATCTTTTCAATATTCAACAACTTCATATCCAACACATCCCGAATCCAATGGTACCTTACACTAATGTGCTTGGATTTTGAGTGAAAAGTTGGATTTTTAGAGAGATGGATAGCACTTTGACTATCACAATAAAGAACACATCTTTCTTGCTTCATGCCTAATTCTTGTAGGAACTTCTTCAACCAAAGGACCTCCTTACAAGCTTCTATACTTGGAATGTATTCACCCTCTATGGTGGACAATGGAACACACTTTTGAAGATTGGATTGCCATTAAATTGCTCCCCTACAAAAGTCATTAAGTATTCCAAAATAGACTTTTGGGAGTCAACAATACCAACCATGTCTGTATCCCATTCAACATGACTTTATTATTCCCGAAGCATAAGCATATCTGAGAAATACCTCTGAGATACCTGAATATCCATTTTACTGTTATCCAATGTTCTTTGCCAAGGTTAGAGAGAAACCGATTAACTATACCAACAACATAAACAATATCTGATCTCGTGCACACCATAACATACATTAAAATACCAACTACTGAAGCATAAGGCACTTTCTTCATTTCTACTTTGTCTTTCTCACTTATAGGACATTGTTTAGTGTTGAGCTTGAAATGACCAACAAGTGGAGTAGTAATTGGTTTTGCATTGCTCATGTTGAATCTCTTAAGAACCTTCTTGATATATTTTTCTTTGGATAACCATAACTTCCCATTTTGTCTGTCTCGAGAGATCTTCATACTAAGAATCTATCTAGTCGGTCCCAAGTCCTTCATTGCGAAAGACTTGCTAACCTCATTTTTCAACATGTCAATCTTTCTAGAATCATGGCCAACTATAAGTATATCATCAACATAAATCAAGAGAATAATGAAATCACCATCAGAAAATTTCTTTATAAATACACAATGATCTGAAGTGGTCCTAGTGTACCTATGATCAATCATGAAAGAGTCAAATTTGTTGTATCATTGTCTTGATGCTTGTTTTAAGCCATACAAGATTTTCTTTAACCTGCACAACAAATGTTCTTTTCCTTTTTCTTTGAATCTTTATGATTGCTCCGTACAATTTTCTTCTTCTAAATCACCATGAAGGAAGGCAGTCTTCACATCAACCTGGTCAACTTCCAAATTTAGACTTATAGGTAGTCCAAGTACAACTCGAATGGAAGACATTTTCACCATAGGAGAGAATATTTCTTCAAAGTCGACACCCTTTTTTCTAACTGAAACCCTTCACAACCAGGCTTGCCTTGTATTTTAGTTGTGAGCMACTCTCATCAGATTTCAGTTTGTAAACCCATTTATTTTTTATGCCATTTTCCCCATTGGTAGTTTAACCAAGTCATAGGTGTAATTCTCATGCAAGGATTTTAATTCCTCTTGCATTGCTTTCAGCCACTCATCTTTCTTGTCATGTGACATAACCTCTTGATAAGTCTCTGGCTCTCCCCCATCCGTTAACATCACATACTCATGTGGAGGATACCTAGTGGAAGGTCTTCTCTCTCTAGTTGAGTTTCTAGGCTAAACTTGTGGTGAAGGAATTGGAGGTACCTGTTCATTTTGCACTTCCTCTATATTTTCATTTATAGGAGTTTTATCACTGACTGCATCATCCTGTTCATTTGGTACAACTCCCCCATGATCACCATCAACTGTAGGTGGGGAAACTGGATCCAAGTTGATTGGAACATCAACAGAGGATTTTGGCTTCTCAATTTTTTATATCTTCAATTGTTTGGTTCTCAATAAATACAACTTCCCTGCTTCTGATCACTTTCTTGTCCCCTAGATCCCATAACCTATACCCAAACTCTTCATGCCTATAGCCTAAGAAAATGAATTGTTTAGCTTTGTCATCAATCTTGGATCTTTCATCTCTAGGAATATGAACAAATGCCCTGTAATTGAACCTTTTTAAATGACTGTATGATATGGCTTTCCCTGTCCAAACTCTCTTTGCAGTATCTCCATTTAAAAGAACTGAAAGAGAAAGGTTGATGAGGTCAACTATAGTTCTCATAGCCTCACCCCAAAATGATTTAGGTAATTTAGCATGAGAGAGCATGCACCTGATTCTGTCAGTGATTGTTTTATTCATTCTCTCTACTACTCCATTGTGTTGAGGAATCTTAGGAACACTTTTCCCAAGCCTGATACCATGGATCTTGCAATATTCTTCAAAATGACCCCTATATTCAAATCATTATCAGCTCGGATGCACTTCAACATTTTCCCTGTTTCTCTTTCAACCTTAGCATGAAAATACTTGAAAACATCCAACACCTAATCTTTAGATTTCAAGGCAAATGTCTACACTTTTCTGAAGTGATCACCAATTAATGTCACAAAATATAATGCACCACCAAGAGATTTATCTTTCATGTAACAAACATTAGTGTGAACTAAGCCTAAAACATGAGGCTTTCTAGGTGGAGGAAATTTATGAAATACAACTCTACTCTATTTGCTAGTTAAGCAATGTACACATATTTCAAGAGACATACATTTCACATTAGGAAGAAGATTTTCTCTTAAAAGTATCTAAAGTCCTTTTTCACTCAAATGTCCAAGCCTCCGGTAGTAAAGCTCAATGAATGAATCATGAACTACATTCACCTCTCCTTTGCTCAACCTTGCTTGCATCACATAAAAAGTATTGTGCTTCTTTCCCTTTGCCACAATGAGTGAACCTCGACTAAGCTTCAATTTTTCTTCAGTGAAGGTGTTTGCATAACCTTCATCATCTAACCTGTTAGTGGAAATAAGATTTAAGCGGATATCAGGAACATGTCTGACATACTTCAAAATTAATTTGTAACCAATATTGCTATCTAAACAAATATCTCTCATGCCAACTAACATTCCCCATACGAACATGTCCAAAATCACCTGTAGTGTAAGATGTGAAAAATTCACTAAGGGGAATAACATGAAAAGAAGCACCCAAATCTATAACCCATTGGGCATGCAAAATTGACATAATTATCATCACAAACAATAATGGCACCTTCAGCTGCAATAGCTATAAATCTCTTTCTTCTTTCTTGCCTTCACCTTTTCCTTTGGCTTGTTCTCTTTTCTAGATCCTGCATTCGTTCTTGTAATCCCTTGGTTTATTACAATGATGACAAATGATATTTTTCTTGGACTTGAATCTTCCTCTAGATTTGTCATATTTGTTTCGGGGACCTCTGCTCTTACTCCTTCCCTGTCTTTCTTTCTTTTCTATCACAAGAGCTTGAGATTCTGACTAAGTTCCTTGTTCTTTCCTTCCCTTAATCCATGCCTGCCCACCAAATTGTAGCTCAAAATTCCCCCATTTGACCCCCTATCAAGCCTAAATCCTATTTCAACAAATCTCATATATTAGAGCTTACTATCCGGCATCCCAATTTCATATGACCGATCAGACCTTATCATTGTGTTCGAAGATATAAAAAACCCAACACGTCAAATTTCAGGACCAAACGTCTCTGTTTGACCGTTAAAAAAGTAAGATTCCATTTCGGACCCTCTCATTGATTGAAAAACCATAAGC